TGTGAGCAATATTTTTAATTATATTAAACTTTTAATTTTATTTTTTTTTTTAATTAATTACGATATGCAACGTGTAATATGTAATGTACAATATATTACATATAATATATAATAGGGAATACATAATAAATAGAATATACAATATATAAGATATAGAATATATAACATAATTAATTAATTAATTAAAATATATTATTTTATTTATAATAAACTCTATTATGTTTGAGGCTAGGTTCTCCACACAAACATTAATATTTAGGACTCTGATTTTTTTTTTTTTTTTTTAACCTTCGCTAGAACTCGAATTTTTACACTGGGATCTAAGATTTTTTTTTTACTGACTAAAAGCACTTTAAATTTCTTCTGCTTAATTAATTACTTCTTCTAGTTACTTATTTTATTTATTTACTTACTCACGCTAAAAAAAAAAAAAAAATAAAATAAAAACTTATTTTATTTATTTACTTACTCACGCTAAAAAAAAAAAAAAAATAAATAAAAAATAAAATAAATAAAAATAATAAAACCTAAACTTTCACCTCTGCCTTATGTGTGAGTGGCTTAAAATACTTCAATCCATCCCAAGGCTTTAATTCAATTTAAATCAAATTTAAATTTCATTTTAATTTCATTTAAAAGGCTTTAATTCAATCCCTGCACTCTGATCTCTCTCTGAAGGATTCAGAGAAATTCCTGAATTTCTGACTCCAGAAATCCTGGCAGGGTCTGAGCCTTTTTTTTCCCTTTTTTTTCTCTTTTTTTTCCCCCTTTTTTCCCCCCTTTTTTTCCCTTTTTTTTCTCTTTTTTTTCCCCTTTTTTTCTCTTTTTTTTCGCCTTTTTTTCTCTTTTTTTTCCTCTTTTTTTTTCCCCCCTTTTTTTTTCCCTTTTTTTTGGCCTTTTTTCCCCCTTTTTTCTCTTTTTTTTTCGCCTTTTTTTTCCCTTTTTTCCCCTTTTTTTTTTCTTTTTTCCTTTTTTTTCCCTTTTTTTTTTTTCCCCCCTTTTCCCAGGATTTCTCCTACGATGACTCCAAGGTGGAATTTAACGTGGATGCTCCCAACGGGGTGGTGATGGAAGGTTACCTGTTCAAAAGAGCCAGCAACGCCTTCAAAACCTGGAACAGGTGAGAAAAAGAAATGGATTATTGGAGAAAAGATCGATATAACCACAGATGTGGTGATAGATATTATTAGAAATAAAGTTTATGTAGGAATGTATAATTATCAATATTATATATAAGATTTATATTGGAATATATATAATTTTAGATGTTATTGTATATAAAATGTATGTAATAATATATATAATTCTAGGCATTATTGTATATAAAAATATATAATAATATATGTAATTCTAGNCCCTTTTCCCAGGATTTCTCCTACGATGACTCCAAGGTGGAATTTAACGTGGATGCTCCCAACGGGGTGGTGATGGAAGGTTACCTGTTCAAAAGAGCCAGCAACGCCTTCAAAACCTGGAACAGGTGAGAAAAAGAAATGGATTATTGGAGAAAAGATCGATATAACCACAGATGTGGTGATAGATATTATTAGAAATAAAGTTTATGTAGGAATGTATAATTATCAATATTATATATAAGATTTATATTGGAATATATATAATTTTAGATGTTATTGTATATAAAATGTATGTAATAATATATATAATTCTAGGCATTATTGTATATAAAAATATATAATAATATATGTAATTCTAGGCATTATTGTATATAAAAATATATAATAATATATGTAATTCTAGGCATTATTGTATATAAGATTTATATTAGAATATATATAATTCTAGGTGTTGTTGTATATTAAAAAAAATATAATAACATATATAATTCTAGATATTATTAGATATAAGATTTATATAAGAATATATAATTCTAGATCTTATTGTATATAAGATTTATATTGGAATAGATCTAATTCTAGATATTATTATAGGTCAGATTTATGTCAGAATATATAAAAATTCTAGATATTATTATATATAAGATTTATATAATAACATATATAATTCTAGGCATTATTGTATATAAGATTTATATAAGAAGATATAATTATAGATATTTTTATACATTAGATTTATATAAGAATATATAATTCTAGGTATTATTGTATGCAAGTGTGATAGGTTGAGGAATTAAAGTGAATTTCCAGCAATATTGAAAAATTCAGGTGCATTTATAAAAATTTAGAGGAATTTGAGTGGATTTATAGAAATTTTGAGGAATTTGAGTGCATTTCCAGCAATATTGAAAAATTGAGGTGCATTTATAGAAATGTTTGAGGAATTCAGGTGCATTTATGGAAATTTCGAGGAATTAAAGTGCATTTATAAAAATTTCAAGGAATTTAAGTGCATTTACAGCAATATTGAAAAATTCAGGTGCATTTATAAAAATTTTTGAGGAATTAAAGTGGATTTATATAAATTTCGAGGAATTAAAGTGCATTTCCAGCAATATTGAAAAATTCAGGTGCATTTATAAAAATTTTTCAGGAATTAAAGTGCATTTATAACAAATTTCGAGGAATTAAAGTGCATTTCCAGCAATATTGAAAAATTCAGGTGCATTTATAAAAATGTTTGAGGAATTAAAGTGGATTTATAGAAATTTCGAGGAATTAAAGTGCATTTATAGCAATATTGAAAAATTGAGGTGCATTTATAGAAATTTTGAGGAATTAAAGTGGATTTATAGAAATTTCGAGGAATTTAAGTGCATTTCCAGCAACATTGAAAAATTCAGGTGCATTTATAAAAATTTAGAGGAATTTGAGTGGATTTATAGAAATTTCGTGGAATTTAAGTGCATTTATAGAAATTTTGAGGAATTTAAGTGAATTTCCAGCAATATTGAAAAATTGAGGTGCATTTATAAAAACTTTTGAGGAATTCAGGTGCATTTATAACAAATTTCGAGGAATTAAAGTGAATTTAAAACAATATTGAAAAATTGAGGTGCATTTATAAAAATTTTTGAAAAATTCAGGTGCATTTATAGAAATTTCGAGGAATTTGAGTGCATTTCCAGCAATGTTGAAAAATTGAGGTGCATTTATAGAAATTTTTGAGGAATTAAAGTGGATTTATAGAAATTTTGAGGAATTTAAGTGCATTTCCAGCAACATTGAAAAATTCAGGTGCATTTATAAAAATTTTTGAGGAATTTGAGTGCATTTATAGAAATTTCTAGGAATTTGAGTGCATTTATGGAAATTTTGAGGAATTTAAGTGCATTTCCAGCAATATTGAAAAATTCAGGTGCATTTATAACAATTTTTTATGAATTTAAGTGGATTTATAGAAATTTCGAGGAATTTGACTGCATTTACAGCAATATTGAAAAATTCAGGTGCATTTATAAAAATTTAGAGGAATTTGAGTGGATTTCTAGCAGTATTGAAAAATTGAGGTGCATTTATAGAAATTTTTGAGGAATTAAAGTGCATTTACAGCACTATTGAAAAATCGAGGTGCATTTATAAAAACTTTTGAGGAATTCAGGTGCATTTATGGAAATTTCGAGGAATTAAAGTGCATTTATAGAAATTT